GGGGGGGGGGGGCGGCTCCTGCTGTCACAGTGGGCCCTTGGCGGTGTGTCCCTTTGCATGGACATGGCCACAGCCCGGTGTGTAACCCTCTGGACCCTGTGGTCCTGGTTTCGGTCCCGGGGGAAGCCCATGGCAGCCCCCAGGGAATGCTTCCCGGGAACCCAACTGCCCTGCTGCTATCTGTCCCGTGTCCAGCGCAGCAGGCCGGTGAGGGGCACCCCTCCATCGACACACGGCCTGGCCCACGGCACAGGTGGCCGTGAGAAAGGCCAGCACTGCCACGGCAGGCACGTTGGTCACAGCTGGACCTGGGACACCTGCCCACCCACACGGAGGGGCTCAGGCCAGTGCTCCCAGCCGACACGGCCCCTCGCACCGGGGGCTCCCCTGGGATGGCGGTGGCCTCTGCGGGCAGCTTCGTCTTGAGGCCTGGCACCTCACCGCACGATCACCCAGGAAGTGTCGGGGCACGGGCATCCGGGGCTCACTGCGAAGATGTGAATCGCTGCCGTCTGGGAAGCTTCTAAGACTTGGGGATCCGAAGCTGCCCGGCCAGGCCCCCAGTCCGCCACCAGGAAACAGGCCCGAGGGCTGGGGGAAGGCAGGCAGGAGTCACCTGGGGAACCGCGTCCGCAGAGAACTCTAAAAGTGCAGAGTGTTTGTGGGCACTAAGCTGATCACAGGTGGCAAAGCCCGTGTCCCAGTGCCGGCCGGTTCCTCTCCGTGGACTCGGGACAGGACCCCTCCCCAGACCCATCCCCTGCCCAGCCACCGCGGGTCTCCGCCTGCCGACAGCCCGGCGCGCCGCACAGCCGTCCCGCGGCAGGACACTGGGGTCCAGCCCTCCCAGCTGTTCAGGGGCTGGCCTGCCCGGGAGCACACGGGAGGCGGGACTGAGCAGAAGAAACCACGCCAGTGGCGTCCTGGGACGCTTCCTCACGCTGCTCCCGCCCCGGGGCAGGCCTGCGGGGCCGACACCACCGACCGCAGGAAACCCATCTTCCCGATGGCTACAGCAACACCTCCCCCTCGGGTTAAGGAAAGTCTAGCGCACACAGCTGCCCCCGTGGCTGGCCCCTCCCCGGCCCCGCGCTTGCGGGCTCCCGAGCTGCGGAGGCCGAGGCGTCTGGCTGGTCTGGGGTCTCAGGTGTCCCCAGCCCGCCTGAGGCCTCCTTCCCAAAGGGTAGCTCTGGAAACACATCTCCCGGCTCAGGGCAGGAGGGAGCGGTGGCCCCCTCCCCGCCGGCTCCGTCACGGCATCTCTGTGTAGCCCAAACACAGCACGTCGCTCGGGCTCCAAGCTCTGCGCAGACGCACGTGCCTCCCTCAGGCTCTGGATGCTGTGGACAAACTGGCAGGTGTATGTGTCTTCGCTGCATGTTCTATGCAACACCCATTCGCTTCTACTAACTGTGGTTAACTAGAAACTACGTGTCTCTCTGTGAATGAAGGAAACTGCACAGCAAGCCCACCAGGAAGCAGGGACCCATGGTCAGGGTGCACCATGCTGACGGCGCCGAGCGCCGGGACAGCAGAGCGAGCGTTTGAGAACATCGCGCCACAGTACTTATTTATTCTATTTAATGCTGTAGGATAAGCAACTAGGCGGTGGTCAGCTCACCATAATTGAAGTTCAAATTCCATAAGTTAAATATTATAGGGAGAGAATCTATATTTATACTGGAGTATTTTTACACCTCGAGTATCCTCAGTCTTAAGGTTTGAGGCAGATGAAAATTACAGTCAGGAAGAGGCACGGGGAGCTCCAGCGGCATCGCCTCCTGTCTAAGCTGTGCTTCGTCCACGCCCCGGTGGCTGAGAGCTCAGGGCAGGCCGAGGCATCCCTCTGAAGCAACAAGTGGACGGAGGCTCGCACACCCGAAGCCTGGGCCTGCTCAGCCACCGGCTGCCGTGGATCAAGCTTTAACGGCACACGGCCCTGCCGCGCACGGCGCGAGACGCCCGTGGCTGCTTCTGTGGCTACGCCGGCAGCAGGGAGATCGGTCACAGACGCCACGGCCCACAAACCCTACAACAGCCACCGCCTGGACCTTTAGGGGAGGCTGCTGGTGCTGTCCCCACCCCTGAGGACCCAGCAGGCTCCCTCTGGGAGTGTTCCCGCACGAGCTGGCACACTCCGTCCCACAGTGCACGCAGCTGGGGACACCACTGTCACCTGTTCCGTCCACTCAGGTTGACAATTCAGCTGTACTGTGAGGTCACCACGAGGCTAGAATGTCCTTCGAACTCTGACCCTGAGTAGCTTCCTTCCGCTGACTGCCTACTGAGCCCTCTGTGCAATCCCGTGGCTCGGGTGTGGCCTTTGTCTGTGGGAGTGGAGAGTGTGGCCAGTAGTGGCCCCGGGCACTCCTGGGAGGTGGTCACCCTGCACTCTGAGATGCTTTAGTTAACTTTCTCTCTTCCCCAAACCAAGCCAAACAACAAAGGAGACGCACGTAACTCAAACTTGAAAGGGATCATATGTTACTAGTTTGTACTAAGTTTTTTTCAGGAAAGGGAAATAAATGTATATATAGATGCGATCTATTTTTGCACTGTTTTCTTACTGTTAGGGAGCGATGAGGGCATCACTTTGCAGTGTGATGGGACAAGCAGTGTGGACGTCACGGGTGCTCTGACTCAGAACCACACTCACCAGGAACTCTGGGGGCGTCTGTAGGGCCGAGGCGTGGTGTCACCTGTCAGTCGCGGTCCAAGGCCTGGCTTGCAAACCTGTGATGAAACAGCCCCTGTCTGTCTGCATACCTCCTCGTGTGTTCCCTGTTGTTAACACTGTGTCAGATTGGTAAAGTGACAAATAAAGGTGTTGAATCGTGGGTCTGTGGTCCTCAAAAGTGCGCTGTGTGCACGGGTAGTCGCGTGGGCACTACGGTAACACAGACACACCCAGGAGGGGCTGCAGCTTACGGGAGCGCCAGCCGCCCTCCAGGTGCGAGGCCTGGAGTGGGATCTGGACACAAACCACATCACGGACACCCACATCAGCCCTGAAAACGGGGATGACGCCATCAAAACTGACATAAAATAAGGACGCTTTTAGGCCATGATGGGGAGACTCGTGCCAGTAGGTGAGAAAGGAAATTGTAAACGCAGAGAGTGATTAGAGATGGAGAGTCTGCGATGTGAGAGGGAAGTGGGCAAACAATAACTGACTGCAGGTAAATAGTGACCGTGTTTCATTTAAACAAAATATTTCATTAAGGCACCTGGAAGCCATGGCGTGTGAGCCAGAAGGGCGCACCTGAAAGCCGTGGCATGTGAGCCAGAAGGGCGCACCTGAAAGCCATGGCGTGTGAGCCAGAAGGGGCGCACCTGAAAGCCATGGCGTGTGAGCCAGAAGGGGCACACCCGAAAGCCATGGCGTGTGAGCCAGAAGGGGCGCACAGGGAGTACGTGCTCATGGCTCGTGTATGATGTCAGGAGTGCTGATCAAATAAACACAAACGCGCTGTGATACCACACCAGGAACAGGGCACACAGCCTCCAAACTTGTAGAGGTGAAAACGTGAATGACAGAAAGTTATCTAAAGACGGCAACACTGGACAGGAGAAAAGAATCATACAAGTAGAACGAATAGCGCAAAATGCGACGCGGCAGATTTAAACTAAAATGTATCAGTTACAGTAGGTGATAAAGCAAGAGAAACACAGACTTGGTAACAGCTCAACCGCCAGGATGAGGAGTGACCAAGGAAAATGAGTGGGGCTGGGCAGCAGCACGGAGGCGGTCAGCAGTCCGCGGTGGGTGCCACCCCCGAGGCACACAGGAGGACGCAGGAGCGGAGGCCTCCGGACCACCACCAAGCTGGCCCAGGATCCCAGTCAGTGGCCTGTTGGAGGCATCCCCGGGCCCTGCTGGGGTCACTCGGTCACTGACTGGGGCTGCCTGGATGAGGGTCCTGAGCTCAGGAGCTGGGACAGAGCCTGACGCCACAGCAGCTGCATCCCGTCCCCTGAACAGCAAGGTCTTCCGTGAAGGGACACACCTGCCCCCTGGACACATCTCTGCCACAGGGACACAACTTCAAATGCTGAAACTATTAAAATGTCATTAAAAGATTGAGTGTCATGCCAAAAAAACCTGAAAATTAGGCCATAAGAACAAATTCCTAGAGATAACATAACTTATGAAAACTAACTCAAGAACTGGGAAGGCCGCACAGTGCTGGCCAGGTGAGTACGTACCAAGGCGATGGAGAAGCCCAAAGTCCAGGCGCTGGGCAACAAGGTGTGCATCTCACTCACACGGAGGCCAGCTGGGGCCGGGGGGGAGGGGTGCCACTCGGGCGGCCACCAGCTCTTCTCTGCTGGGCCCTGAAGACACGCCTGCTTCACTTGCAGAGTTGGTCACATGGCCCCAAACCAGCTATAGGGGAGGCACACGGACGGCCCCTGAGAACCCACTCTGCTGCATCGCCGAACCATAATTCAGCTGAATCAAGTCAAAAATCCCCCCACAAGATGTGAACTGGTACAGCCACTATGAAGAATAGTATGGAGGTTCCTTAAAAAACTAAAAATAGAACTACCTACCATATGACCCAGCAATCCCACTACTGGGCATATACCCTAAGAAAACCATAATTCAAAAAGAGTCGTGTGCCACAATGTTCATTGAAACTCTATTTACAATAGCCAGGACATGGAAACAACCTAAAAGTGTCCATCGACAGATGAATGGATAAAGAAGATGTGGCACATATATACAATGGAATATTACTCAGCCATAAAAAGAAACGAAATTGAGTTATTTGTAATGAGGTGGATGGACCCAGAGTCTGTCATAGAGTGAAGTAAGTCAGAAAGAGAAAGACAAATACCATATCACTTATATGTGGAATTTTAAAAAATGATACAAATGAACCTCTTTGCAAAACAGAAACAGACTCACAGACACCGAAAACAAACTTATGCTTACCAAAGGGGAAAGGTAGAGGGGAGGGATAAATTTGGAGTTTGGGCTTAACAGATAAACATTACCTATATATAAAATAAATAACAAGGTCCTATTGTGTAGCACAGGGAACTCTACTCAATATCCTGTGATAAACCATAATGGAAAAGAATATGAAAAAGTATACATAGATACAGATATAGATATAGATATATAGATCTCTCTCTCTCTCTCTCTATATATATATATATATATCTGAACCACTTTGCTGTACAGCAAAAACTAACATAATATTGTAAATCAACTAAATAAAAAATAAAAATTTTTCAAACATTCAGGGAAGAAACAGTTACAATCTTATACAAATTCTCCTGGGAATAGAGGATAGTGATGACGCAAACCCCAACAAGAACAGCATCGCAAGGACAAATGTCACCCTGGACACGGACGTACCACGTTCTTCTCAGAGCCACACTCACGCTGTGCCGGCCGTGCGTGGGACCTGTCTGGGACTGTACTCACAAGTCACTCAACCCTCACGATGGCCTGCGAGGCAGGCACTGCCAACCAGGACATTGAGGCCCAGAGAATCTAACTGCCCAGGGGGACATTAAGTGGCACACCTGGAACACAAAATCCTACACAAAACATCCACAAACCACATACAACAACACGTATGTAAGGAAAGCCCATCATCACTAAGTTGTGCTTATTCCAGAAATTTACTGTTGTTAACCATATTAATAGGACAAGGGAGAAAAATCACATGGTCATCTCAGTAGTGGCAGAAAAGTGTCTTATTCATCCATTCATGATGACAAATTCTTAGCAAATTAGCAACAGAAGGAGCAAGGCCACCAAAAACCCGAATTTAGTGGCACAAGTTTAGGGGTAAAGTGGTAAAAGCTCGCATTTGATTTAACACCCAGAGCAAGACAGATGCCCACTCTACCACCACGTGTAATCCACAGTTATATTGGACGTGCCAGCCAGCACAGAAGAGCAAAACTCAAAACAAAACTGAAAAGAAAACATAAAGTAAAAGCCCAGAGTAAAGGAATGGAACGGAGAAAAGAAAAGCCATCACTCACAGAAGGCATGACTGTGCTAGAAAGTCTAGCACAGCTACAGGCAAATTATGAGTCTAACAAGATCGCTGGGTGTAAAATTAATGTACAAAAAATCAATTCTATTTCCATATAATACAAACAAACACATTTCAAAAACACATCTTTTAGATATGGCATCACAAAATAAGGAAAACCTAGTTATAAACATAACAAAAGATGCATAAGACCTCCATGGAGAAAATTATAGAGCTATAATTAACATACATGAAAGGAGATCTAATAAGTGGACACAGATACACTACAGCCACGGCTTGTAAGACCCAATATTACCTGTGTCAACTCTTCCCAAACCGACCAATGCAAATCCCAAACAAAATCCCAACTTAACCAGCTAATTCTAAAGCTCATGCAATTCAAAGGGTCAAAAGTAGCCCAAACATCCTGACGTGGGGTGGGAGGTCTTGACCTACGGAGTGTGGTGCTGCACAGGGACGGACTGGACACCAGTGGAGGGAACAGACACACGAATCATTTATGACCAACGAGTCTTGTGAATGGATGATGCTGGGCAACTGGACCTACATGTGAAAACCCTGGAACTGGGTCCTTAACCCTCACAACATGCACAGAAGTCAGTTCCAGGTAGAATATGCATCTAATACTAAAAACAGACGAAACTCTGCGCTCTCTTAGGAGATACACGGAATATTCTATGACCACAAACAGAAAAATCATCATGAAAAAGACTGATAAATTGCATCCTATTCAAGTTTCAATTGGGACCTCCCTGGCAGTCCAGCGGTTAAGACCTTGCCTTCCAAAGCAGGGGGTGCAGGTTTGATCCCTGGTCGGGGAGCTAAGATCCCACCTGCCTCGCAGCCAAAAAACCAGAAGCAATACTGTAACAAATTCAATAAAGACGTTAAAAATGGTCCACTTCAAAAACAACAACAACAACAAAAACCTTTAAAGTTTAAATTTTCTCTTCATCAAAACACACCATTAAAACGTGGAAGGACAAGAAAAAGCTATTTGCAAATATAAGGCACAAAGTCCTCGCATCCAGAACCACAAATAACTTCTACAAGGTAAGAGACAGACTGCCCGGTACCAGACACCTTGGAAAGGCAGGTGCTCACCCTGGCCGATGGGGCAGCAGGTGCAGGACTCTCTAGGAGGCGGACTTCTAGAAGCCTGACGGAAAGTGTGGGGCGAGGGCCAGCAGGTGTCCCCACATACCTGCCAGCAGCAGCGTTAGCTGGTGTCACCACTTTGCAAACAGTTCCAGATGATCTGTAGTAACGCTACTCAGAACATGGTTAAGGAGTTAAATGAAACGTGAACATAATGGGAAATAAAACCTTTATAAAAAAAGGTTTTCTTTCCTTTTTATAAAAAAGGACCAAATGGAATTTTAGTACGAAGGAATATACGATTTCTAAAATTAAAAATTCAGTCTACAAGCCCAACAGCAGATCAGGCGCATGCAGGAAACAGCAGTAAACTCTGTGACGGGACAACAGAGACCACCCAACCGAAGCTCCCAGGAGGAAAACACCCAAGGAGGAAAACACCCAAGATTAGGGAAAGGGGGGGGCCAGACCCAGGGGCTGACGTGGCGTCACTGGAGTGCCAGGGGGAGGGGACTGGAAAGGGGGGGCCAGACCCAGGGGCTGACGTGGCGTCACTGGAGTGCCAGGGGGAGGGGACTGGAAAGGCGGCTCGGGTCAAGGGAGAAATAACAGGAAATCGTGGCCCAAACTTCCCACATTTGATGAAAAATACAAAGCTCAGCGTAACCCAAACGAGAAACTAACAGCACGGCGACCACCTTCTACAAGCTGACAACGGATTCGCGCGAGAATCTTTAAATAAAAAAAATCTCATGATGAAACACGCAGCCCCCATGCCGACTTCCCTGTGGTTACAAAAACGCAACGCGACCTGAAGGCGAGGGCCTCCTCCTGAGCCCCAGGGCCCGCGGCAGCCCCTGCTCTCGACCTGCAGCTCTGTTCCCTAAGTCCACCGCACGGCACTCTCAACAATCACTTCGCTTCACCAAAGAAAGCAAGTATTACCTAAGATATAAAGTTTCCAATCTAAAAACCTAATTTTATGCCCTGTTAGGACATCATTTTCAGAAATGAACTGCAAAGCAAGGAGAGCGGGGCTTGGGCGGTATCTCTCCTGTGGAAAGTTAATGCCACAAACAGTATTCTTCACAGCTCTCGGTGTTACCTGTACTTAGTCTCACATCTTGCAGTTCGTGCTCATCAACCGTGGGGCACAGCTTATTTCATAAAAGAACTCAACGCGAAACGCAGTTATAATCGAAGAGCCACTTTTTAGAACAATGTATTAGTTTATTAAATAAGGGTTGCTTGTTACACAATCAATTATTTTCTTTAACCGTCCTACAGAGCTGCTTTCTTGCACGTTAGGCAGAAAAATACAGCATTTTCTTTGTCTCAAGATATTTGATGAAAAACTACTGACCTGTTTGTCTCAAGACATGTAAGGGGCTTGGATGAGCCTGTCTTTTTAGGACACTTCAGACACCCCCCGCCCCGCCGCACCACAGGCCCTGAAGACAGACACCCACGGAGAGGAGCGCTCAGGGTGCTGACGTGGGCGGGCGGCTGGGGCACAGGGCCGCGGTCTTCTTGAGCTCCCTGTGGCTCCAGTGCAGCGGCTCCACCTCAGCCTGGTGCTGCGCCTGCACCCGGCCCAGCTCCTGAAGGAGGTGCTCATTGGTGCTGACCAGGGACCTGGAGACGAGGCAGGGGACAGCGCTCAGCCCCGGGCGCCGTCCCCGCCCTGGGGGCCCTCGCGCTGCCCTGCTGCTGCCCCTCGCCTGGCGGCGCTGCGTCTCCCCGCCAGATCTAGAAAAGGTCCAAGGATGGAAATATTTCTAATTCGCAGGCAACTGCACTTCTGACACGGACACGGCACAATGGGAAAGTCCTGGGTTCTTTAATGCTGTGGCCGTTTGTAACTCTGGAGGAATCGCAGCAGGGAAGTGGGGCTGCACGCTGCCGACCCCGTCTCCAAGCTGCCAGCTCACCCGGTTGGCACTGACTGAGGGACCTACCTCCGTGGCGCCGCGAGCCACAGATAGCGCGGGGCCGCGTTCTCCACAAAGCTGGCCACGCCAGCGACAAACCCCGTTTGCCGGGACACTGGGAAAGCCATGGGCCAGGCGGAGGCTCAGCACCGACCCGCCTGCTGCTCCGAGAGGCGCTGCGGCCCTGCCTTGCCCACAGCGAGCCCACGGAGCCCACCCGCCTGCGGCCTGCCCGCCCTCCCCCGCGGGGCTTGTGCTGGTATGGGCCCAGGGGCCTGTGGCCTCCAATCGCCACAAGGTCACAGCCGGCTCCAGCTGTGGCAGGGCCTCTGTGGTGACCTCGCCCGACAGTGAGAAGGGGGTGGAGAAAAAGGGAGGGTGGGGCGGGAGTGCTGTCCTCAGGCCCGCCCCCCACTGCCTCGGCTTCCCCTCCGCAGCCCCACCCGCTTGCCAGCACGCAGGTCTCTTCACAAAATCCGAGCCGGGGGCAAAGGTGGAATCTGTTTCTGCGAGAACCACCACACCGAGGGGGCACGCGCAGGCCTCCAGGACACGGCACCACCCCTCCCTCGCCCTTCGTCCCCCCTAACACCTCCCAGGAAGCTGCAGCAGGAAGGACCTCGCTGCTCAGTAAGGCGCAGAAGCTCACACAAGCTCCGAGGCAACCCAGCGACACACGCGGGCTCAGGACCAGCGGCCCGCCGCCCCAGGCAGGCACCTACGGCTCTCCTGCAGCATCCGGGTGAGTTCCTGGATCCTGTCGTAGTGCTCCAGACGCTGCTTTAGTTCCACAGTCTCCCCGGAGAGCCGCTCCACGCCTGTCTGAAATCCTGATGGGAAGAGAAGCGGCGATATTCAGTGAAATTTGCTCCCACATTTTAAAGATTTTATTTGTTTATTTATCTAGTTAGTTTTGGCTGTGTTCGGTCTTCATTGCTGCGCGCGGGCTTTCCCTAGTTGCAGCGCGCGGGCTTCTCACTGCGGTGGCTTCTCTTGTTGCGGAGCACGGGCTTCAGTAGTTGTGGCACGCGGGCTCAGTAGCTGTGGCTCGTGGGCTCTAGAGCGCAGGCTCAGTAGCTGTGGCGCACGGGCTTAGTTGCTCCGCGACATGTGGGATCTTCCCGGACCAGGGCTCGAACCCGTGTCCCGTGCACTGGCAGGTGGATTCTTAACCACTGCACCACCAGGGAAGTCCCAACACTCCCACATTCTGGAAACTAAAATGATTCTAGAGTTTAAAGCGCACCTGGGAAACACGGGAAAAGGTCATCAGGGTGAACGAAGCAGCCCCCTCTCCACCTGCAATCATCCCACCCAGGGCCCAGCGCCGGCCCCTGCTGTTGGGGATGAAGCCCCGGGCCTCTGCCCTCCGGACACCCATGAGGGGTGCGTGCGGCGTGGAGCAGAGACAGGGGGAGGTGGGCCTGGCGCCAGCCGGAGGCCCTAGGCTGGATCTGCCGCTGGACAGCGGGGCCTTCAGGAAGAAGACCCCGGCAGCCGACAGGACTGGGGTGAAGGGCTGCGGGGACGGCTACCGGGCGGCGGGCCCCGGAGGGTCTGGGCTGTGGCTGTGCTCACGCCCTGAGATGCTCTTACCGCCCGGTCCTCCCGGAAGAAGTTTGAGACCCCCGAGAGGTCGGACAGGAGCAGACACCCAGGCTGAAGGCCCTGTGTGACCCCACGTCACCTCACATTGCCCCAGAGCAGGCCGCACCCCACCTTGAAATCCCAAGGGCACTCTTGCAAAACTGGCAAAAGAGAATCCAAGACAGTGAAGAGGGAAGCAAAAATGCCCTGGGTCTGGAAGGAGCCGTAGCCAAGGAGGAGGACGCCCCGGGGAGGGCCCCGTGGCCTTTCAGCAGCTCAGAGAGACGGCCCCGGGCATGCGTGCCCGCCCTGGCAGGGCTGGGGGCTCCGACCCCGCTTCACTGCACTTGCTGAGTCTGAATCCTGTGAAATCCTGACTCTTACACGTACAAGTAAACCGTGAACTCACCAGTGATCTGCAAGTTCGGTGTGGATGGAGCGTCGGCGTTTCTCACTTCTTTTTTCACGCTGAACGGAAGAGACTTCCAGCTACTGCTTTCCTCCAGAGTTCTGTCCAGATGCTGCCTCAGGTGATCCTGCAGACACAGAGCAACGCATGCCAAACAGACGAGTCAAACTCTGTGCAGACTGCATCGCTACAAAGATGGCATCTGGGGCCCGTCTGTCTGGATCCAAATGGTCCCAAACTGCACAGTGGAAGGAGAAGGGGTGCCACTACTCATCTGCCCAAAGCCCCAAATCCACGGTTCTCTGTTCCCGGGTTGACAGGCCTGCTACGCCCATGGGGACGACGCGCTGCCCGGTGACCACGCAGGCTGGGGCTGCAGCCCTTCCTGGATGCGAGAGCCGTTTGTGTGCAGACACCCAGAGGACGCCGGTGCCACCTCACTATCTTTCACTTATGCCTCTAAAAGTGAAGCTCTGTGTAGGATCTCTGTCTTCATAAGACGATAAGCACCAGACACTTCAGACACTTGTCTCCCAGCAGCCATGTGGCTCCTTCCACTCCCATTTTACACACGGGGGCGCTGAGCACAGAGGGTGCTCACGCCCGGGGAGGAGACCCATCCCCGCCACACACAACACACGGAAGCCACCACGTGGCACCCTCCCCACCAGCTGCCGCGTCGTGAGGACTTGCGGGGCTGCCTGGGATGGGCGTGGAGGACCTGCACCCTGCTAAGCCTTCAGAGGAGACCACAGCCCCACGTGGCAGCCTGACAGCAACTTCAGGAGGCCCTAAGACACACGGCTCAGCTACCCTGGGCTCTGCCCACAGACACCACACAGGGTAAGCGTGTGCTGTCTGAGGTGTGACTGGGGGTGACTTGTTACGCAGCAATAGACAACCTAACACAGGGGGTTCGGTACCTGCTGCCATCCCTACAGCCCACCCTCTTGACCACGGGACAGAAGCCAAAAAGCTTCTGCACGGCAAAGGAAACCATCAACAAAATGAAAAGGCAGCCTACGGACTGGGAGAAGATATTTGCAAACCATTTGTCTGATAAGGGGTTAATATCCAAAATATATAAAGAATTCACACAACAGTGAAAAAACAATCTGATTTAAACATGGGCAGAGGACCTTTGAAAAACAGACATTTTTTCAAAGAAGACATCCAGATGCCAACAGGCGCATAAAAAGATGCTCAGCATCGCTAGTCATCAGGGAAATGCAGATCAAACCACAGCGAGGTGTCACCACACCTGCCAGAATGGCTTCATCAAAAGGACAAGCGATAACAAGTGTTGCCAAGGGTGTGCAGAAAAGGGAACCCTCGTGCGCTGTTGGTGGGAATGTGAATTGGTGCAGCCACTACGGGGAACAGTATGGAGGTTCCTCAAAAAATTAAAATCAGAGCTACCAGATCCAGCAATTCCACTTTGGGGTATTTATCTGAAGAAAACAAAAACACTAATTTGAAAAGATATGTGCACCCCCCATGTTCATAGCAGCATTACTTACAATAGCCAAGCTATGGAGCGACCTCAGTGCCCATCAGTAGATGATGAGTGGACAAAGAAGATGCGCTGTATGTATACAATGAGAAAGACGAACACCATGTGATCTCAGTCAAATGTGGAATCTAAAACAAACAAACAAACGAAGTGGAGCTCACAGATGCAGAGAACTTGGTGCTTCTGCCAGACGCAGAGCTTGGGGTGGGAGAAGTGGGTGAACCGTTACTGCTTTTTAGTTTAAATCAATTGAATTTTTTAAAAAGTCTACTGCAAGTAAAAGGGACAGGTTGTTAATTAGATAAAAAACGCAAGACCCAAGTGTACGCTGCCTACAAGGAACCCACTTTAAATATAAGCACACCAATAAATTAAAAGGACGGAAAAAGAAAGACACACCATAGCAACACTGATGGAAGAAAGCTGCTGGTGGCTATGCTCGTGTCAGTCAAAGCAGAGTGAGAGAGAGACAGACAGCGGGCACCAAGGGAAAAAGCACGAGAGAAAGCAGCACGCGTTCGGGGGACTAACAGGGGTCAGTGGCAGGCAGGCTGCCAGGCGGCGGCAGCGCGCAGACGGCAAGGCAGAGAACAGCCAGGAGGTGCGCCCACGCGGGACAGCAACACCCGTAGGACCACACGCTGGGAACACCGACACCACTGAGCACACACGTGTCACCTCAGCAGCCCCCGAGCGACCAGGCCACAGGCGTGGGCCCGTCACATGGCACAGGGGTGACCAGATTCACTCCGGGCAGCCTAACTCCATGGCCCCCACACTCAACCCTGACGACATACGAGCTTGACCAAAAAGAACAATTATACTGTATGGGTCAAATTTACTTATTTTGGCTATAAAACAAATAAATAAATAAAAATAAAATGAAAGAACACTCTAAATAGTTTCCATACAATCAAACTGAACCATAATGATCAGTGAGGTAAAAACCTCAACATGCTGAATGCACGATGGTCTCTAAGTAAAAATTATACACGTTTCAGGTGCCCCTTCGATGGTTTGATGTGCGTGTACATAGTGACGGCCACGGTCGAGGTAACACACACATCTTCTCTTCAGAGTAACCATTTCTTGGGTGGTGAGAAGACCTGAAATCTGCTCGCTCAGCAGATTTCCAGATTCCATGCAGTCTTATTAACTGTGACCACCAGGCACGCTTTAGAGACCTAGACTTAGTCACCTACAGAGCTGCCACTCTGTGCCCTGGGCCACCATCTTCCCACTCCCCCCACCTCCCCACCACCGGTGGCCACCGCTCTACTCTCTGCTTCTATGAACTCAACTCTTAGATTCCACATATGAGATCATGGAGTTGGTTCTTTCCACGTCTGACTTCTTTCACTTAGCGTAGTGCCCCCGAGGTCTGTGGCAGGACCCCCTTCTTTTAAGCTGAATAGTGCCCCGCTGCGCACAGACACCACGTCTTCTTCACCCACCCATCCACTGAAGGGCGCTTAGGCTGCTGCCACATCTTGGTGACCGTGACTAATACTGCAGCAAACATGGCAGTACACGTGTCTCTTCCAGATCCTGACTTCACTTCCTTTGGATAAATATGCAGAAGTGGGATTGCTGGGTCACACGTTAGTTCTACTGCGGGTCTTCTGAGGACCCTCCATACTGTTCTCCACAGCGGCTGCACCAATGTACATTCCCGCCAACAGTGCACGAGGGTTCCCTTCTCTCCACATCCTCCACTTATCCCTTGTCTTTTTGATGACAGCCATTCTGCAGGTGTGAAGTGACAGCTCACTCTGGTTTTGATTTGCATTTCCCTGATGGTTAGTAATACTGAGCATCCTTTTCACATGTCTGTTGACCATCTGTATGCCTTCTTGTTAGGTCCTCTGCCCAGTTTTTAATTGGGTTTCTTTTTTCTTTTCTATTGAGCTGTATGAGTTCTTTATATATTCTGGATATTAACCCCTCATCGGATAAATGGTTTGCAAATATTTTCTCCCAATCCATAGGCTACCTTTTCATTTTGGTGATGGTTTCCTTTGCTCTGCAAAAACTTGTAGTTTGAGGCAGTCCCACTAGTTTATTTTTGCTTTTGTTGCCTTTGCTTTTGGTGTTACATCCAAAAAATCACTGCCAAGGCCATGTCAAGGAGCTTTTTTCCCGTCTTCTTCTAGGAGTTTTTTTTTTTTTTTTTTTGGCCTCACTCTGCTTGGTGTTTTCTGACATTCCTGGATCTGTGGTGTGGTTTGATGTTCCCGTCTTCTTCTAGGAGTTTTTTTTTTTTTTTTTGGCCTCACTACGCGGCATGCGGGATCTTAGTTCCCCTACCAGGGATCAAACCCACGCCCCCTGCAGTGGAAGCGTGGAGTCCTAACCACTGGACCACCAGGGAAGCCCCTTCTAGGAGTTTTAGTTTCAAGTCTTATATTTAAATTTTTAATCCACTCTGAGTTGAATTTTGTGTGTGCTGTAAGATAAGGGTCCAAGTTCATTCTTTTGCCTGTGAACATCCAGTTTTCCCAACACCACTTACTGAAGAGATCAACCTCTCACCATGGTGTATTCTTGGTGCCCTTGTCAAGAATTAGTTGACCATATATGCGTGGGTTTATTTTTGGGTTCTCTATACTGTTCCAGTAATCTATGCCTGTTTCTGTGCCAGCACCATACTGTTATGATTAATATAGCTTTGTAATATAATTTTAAATCAGGAAGCGTGATGCCTGAAACTCTGTTCTTTCTCAGGATCACTTTGGTGATTTGGGGTCTTCTGTGGAACTACAAAAAGAAGAATACAAATTAAAAGAAAAATAATTATACAAATTTTAGAATTGTTTTTTCTATTTCTGTGAAAAATGCCATTGGAATTTTTATAGGGCTTACATTGCGACTGTAGATGTCTTTGGGCGGTATGGACATTTTAACACTAACAACCTTCCACCCATGAACACGGGATATCCTTCCGCCCATTTGTCTTCTTCAACTTCTTTTATCAACGTTTTATAGTTTTCAGTGTTAAGATCTTTAACCTTCTTGGTTAAATTTATTCCTAAGTATTTCATTCTTTTTGATGCTATAGATGGAATTGTTTGGGAACAATCACTGGTGTAAAGAAATTAGAATGATTTTTGTCATACTGACTTTGTATCCTGCAACTTCACTGAATTTATCTGTTCTGATTTTCTTTTGTGAAGTCTTTAGTGTTTTCTACATGAATGATCACATCACCTACAAAGAGAGGTAACTTTACTCCTTCCTTTCCAATCTGGATCCTTTTGTTTCTTTTCCTCACCTGCTTGCTCTGGCTAGTACAGTTGATCCCTGAACCACGGGGGATCTGGGGGCTGGGGAGCCGACTCTCCTTGCAGCTGAAAATCTGCATATAATTTATAGTCAGCCCTTCAAATCTGCAGTTCCGTGTCCGTGGATTCAACCAACTTCCAACTGTGTAGTACTATAGTATTTACTATTAAAAAAATCCACGTATAAATGGACCCATGTAGTTCAAACCCACGTGTTCAAGGGTCAGCTGTACTTCCAGTGGAAGAGAAGCTGCAAAGTGGACACCCTGGTCTCATACTGGGTCTCAGAGGAAAAGCATTCAGTCTCCCCCACTGATCGTGAGGTGGGCCAAGGGCTTCTCACAGATGGCCTTCATTGTGTTGAGGAAATTTTCTTTTACACCTATTTTGTTGAGTTTTTTTTTTATCATAAATGGATGTTGAACTCTGTCAGATGCTCTATCTCCATCACTCGGGATGACTGTGTGGTCTTTAGCTCTCCATGAGTTAATGTAGCGTATTAATTTGTGTATGTTAAACCAACCTTGCATTCCAGGGGACAATTCCTCTTGGTGGTGATGTGTTGCTGAATTTGGTATACCAGTCTTCTGTTGAGGATTTTTACATCTATGTGCATCAGATAGTAGCCTGTAGTTTTCTTTTCTTGCGGTGTCTTTGGCTTTGGTATCTGGGCAATGCTGGCCTTATGAAATTAGTTTTAAAGTATTCCCTCTACTTCTATTTTTCTGGAAAAGTTTAAGAAGGACAAGTATTCATTCTTCTTTGAATGTTTGATAGAATTCAGCCATGAAGCCATCTGGTCCTGGACTTTCCTTTATTAGGAGGTTGATTACTGTTCCATCTCATTTGTTATTGGTCTCTTAGGTTTTATTTCTTCTTGATACAGTCTTGGTAGGTTGTATGTTTCTAGGAATTTATCCATTTCTCCTAGGGTCTCCAATGTGCTTGTATATAACCATTCTCTGACTCATTTTATTTCTGAGGCATCCGTTGTAATGCCTCCTCTTTCGTTTCTGATTTTTCATCTCCTCTCGCTCTTAGTCTAGCTAACAGTTTATTGGTTTTGTATGTTTTCAAAACCCAACTCAGTTTGGTTAATCGTCTTCCTGTCGCTTCTCTACCCTTATTTATCTCTGCTAATATATTATTTCCTTCCTTCTGCTTACTCTGGATTCAGTTTCTTCTTCCTAGTTCCTCTAGCTGTAAAGTTAGGTGGTTTATTTGAGATTTTGAGATCTTTTCTCCTTTTTAGTGTAGGCATTTATGAGTGATGGTCTCATGGTGAGGTTACAAAGGACGAGGGCAGCCTCAGCCAGGAAGTGGGCTCCACTGCCAGGTCAACACTGTGCTGACTCTGGCTGCCCTTCAGTGCCACCTGGTGGCGGAGTTCCCACAGGTCCAACAGGACACCTTGGTCTCATAGCTGCCTGGTGCAGACAGGACAGCCAGGTAACTGGAACCTCTCTCACCAGTGTTCTGGGGAGCCTGGGCCAGGGAACACTGGGGCCACAGAAATTCCACCTCCAGCCCAGCCTCACTCTCTCTTTTTCTCTCCCACTCAGCCTCTCTCAGAACAGAACGCAGCTGCCCAGGAGAGGCAGGACTGGGACAAGTGGCAATGCTGCCATCTGCAATCACTGTCATGAGGGGTCCTGGAGTGACAGAGTCACGCGGCATCCCTGAAGGGCAGCTGGAGTCCCTGGGGGTAAGGAGAGCCTGGTCGGGGAGGGGGTTCGCATCCTGCAAAGGGCAGGAAGGGGCCCCGGTGTCGTGCCCGACAGCTGTAAGGGGAAGCAGCGTGGAGAAGCTACCCTCGCTCTGTGACGTCAAAACTACATTCTGGGCCTTCCCTGGTGGCGCAGTGGTTGAGAGTCCGCCTGCCGATGCAGGGGACGCGCGTTCGTGCCCCGGTCCGGGAAGATCCCACATGCCGCAGAGCGGCTGAGCCCGTGAGCCATGGCCGCTGAGCCTGCGCGTCCGCAGCCTGTGCTCCGCAGTGGGAGAGGCCACAGCAGTGAGAGGCCCGCATACCAGAAAAAAACAAAAAAACAAAAAAACCCTACATTTTGCTCCATCTGTGAACAAACAGAACTAACTCACCATCTCCTTCCGAGTGTCGCTGAGTTCCGACACCACCTCACTCATCTTCACGCTATACTGCTGCTGTAGCTCAGCAAGGCAACTCTGCAAAGACTTATTTTCCATAGTCAGGGAGCTAATTTCTTCACTCACACGTTGTTGAACTGTCCTGAGTGGCTGTAAACTCTTGGACAGATGACAAAATGTGTCTTGCCTGAGCTAGAAGTAAGAATCAAACATTATTACAACATTTATGTTGAAAGGATGAGTGTAAACAAAACATGTTCAATGCATTTTGAATAACACGGGCTACATGGCTCAAAAACACTGACTGGCATGGAGACTGGAAAAGGGACACGTACGCCATTGAAATGACCTCATCAGGCCTCTTTATCCCCAGCCGTGGATAAGGACCAACAGGCAAAGAGCAACAGACTTAGAGACCTAGAGAAAGGGGCCTCAGGAAAAGGCCACCATTAGGAGGTCTGCCTGAACGCGCTCTTACACCGCACCGACTGCTGCTCCAGGCCTGGCCCTGCTCCACGACTGGGAAAGCAGACAGTCCTGCTGCTAGCCCTGAGAGGGTGTAGGTTTATGCGGTCAGGATCCAGGGGCACCAGCTTCTCAGGGCGCCCTGATTCCAGAAGGGGAAGCTGAGGGGCCAAGACACTGAGTGGAAGGCTTGGGAGCCTCTGGTGCAGCTAAGCTGTGAGATCCAGGCAGAGCTCGGGGTCTGCTGGAAGGAGAGAGCTGGCAGGTCCCTGCTCCCCCTGGGGCACGTGAGGCTGCAATCAGGCTGTGGGAAAAGAGAAGGTGGCCCTGGGGACACAGCATCTCCCCGTCTCACACCCCGACTCTGGATGCGGGGTCCCCTGTGTGCCCCTGTATCCAGGCACCAGGCAGAAGAAAACCCAAGTCCTCTCTGGGGAGGGGCCATCTTCCTGGGCCTCAAGTCATTTCCACCAAAAGGTCAGCAAATCCAGGGCCCTTCATTCGGTCAAATGCTCAGAGGATTCGGAGAAGACAGCAGCAGCATTTTAGTCTCTCCAAATCCCCACATAAAAACAGAGCAAGGAGAAGCAAACACCCAGGAAGAGCGATGCCAACACCACTGGCTGATGACACACCTCCAGGAAGCCTGGAGCGCCAGCAGGAGGGAAACGACAGCCACAGGCCGCGTGGAGTCCTCCATGTCTGCCACCTCCCGAGAACCAAGACGCTGTGAACAGGACCATCAGGACGCTCCCCGCAGCGCAGTGAGGCAGTGACGCCGGTGAGGCGGTCCAGCGAGACACACGGACGAGCGCCCAGCAGTGGGGCGCAGGCACCTGCCCGCAGAGCCCTGGGCCAGCTCGCCGAGGAGCACCTCGCTGCCGTGCAGGGGCCTGCAGATGAGTACTCCAGTGCCTGCCCACCAGGTCGAGGAGCGCCACCTCCAGGGTGGGCTTCTTCCCTGGCGGCACGGCCAAGTGCAACTTGGGACACACCTGCACGGAAACAAACCACAAGCGTGGCTTTTTCCATGCCTGAAACCAGTGGGTACGATGCAGCACTAGGCGTGCGCGCCACACTGACGCCTCATCCCACCACCTACAAGCACGATGGCGGTTCACACACCACAAGCCTGCAGGCGTGGCTCATGGGATTCACCTCCCCGCCCCCTGCACGTGTGTCCACATCTGTGGGGCAGGGACAACATCTCACACTGGGAGGGACGGCGAAACTGTCACCCTAGTGTAACAGTCAGGAGACCGGTCGGTTCCCAGGGACAGCTGTCCTCCGGAACCAGCCCCAGCGATTCTGGGAGGGAGGAGACTAGTCTTGGCCTGAACGGTCCCTGGAGCCCCGGAGGCCCTAAGTGCAGCGCGGCCCACGCGGGACTAGAGGGACGGCTGGCCGGGATGGCGCAGGCACAAGGCTGCCGGGCGGAAGCACCACGGCTCCACCCCTGGCCCAACCACGCCAGGGCCGCGGAGTCACTGGCATTCACGGCAACGCTCTTTTCTTCCGTTTAGAAATTGTTTTACCAATTTTAAGGGATTACTGCAGAAAGGGGGGCGGCTCCTGCCCACTTTCTGAGTGTCTAGGGAACAATTCCTGGGTCCGGGGATTTCGGGAGTAAATGCCAGCAGTGCCAGAGCTGGGGACGAGGCCCCGCCGCCCTTCACAGCCCGGCGTTCCCCACTGTTACACAAATAAAGGGCTTTTCTCCTTGAGACCATCTGGAACAGCCAGCGAGACCCTGAAGGGAGTGTGGGAGCGACCTGGGCCACTTGAGCCGGGACAGCCCTTCACTCCTGGCATCACTGCGCACCCACGGGAGCCCCAGGAGCATCGGGAAACACATGCCCGCAGAAGGGACACTGCTCTGCCCGAGGTCACACCAAGGGCGGGGCGGCCATCTCCAGGGACCGGTCGGCATGGGAACACTGAGGCCAGCTGCTGGTCCCAAAGAGCCGAGGCTGAGAGCACCTGTGGGCATCAGCACACATACCTCCGCCGCGAGCTGCACCTGGACGCTCAGCCGCAGGCATGGGTGATGGAGCCGCGGTGCCCAGCATGGTCAGGCTTCTGCATTCCACCCGGCAGAAGGGTTGTGCCCTCTCCAAAAGGACGATCTCACCACAGGGTCAGAATGCTCAGAGGAGGGGGCCCCATAGGCAGCGCCCCTTCTGCAACGTCCCAACCCCACAGCAAGTGCCAGCTCGTCAGGCGAGGCTCTGCCCGGGGTGACACCCATCTGGGGACAGGGAAGGCCCAAGCACATTCCCAACTCAAGAAAATCCTCGTTTTCCTTCCTTCACTAAATCCAGTGAGAGGCTAAAGAGGTGAATAGACAGCGGCCAGACGAGCCGTGAAAGCAGAGCTCGGCCCCACGGCCTGCGGCTGGACGCCACCCACCACCTACGACGGGCCCAGCGTCCCTGATTCTATGTCTCCAGCTCAGGACCAACCACAGGGGGACAGGCGCTCCCCTCAGCAACCTCGTGGGACGCCCCCTTCCAGCCCCAGCCCCCGGCCTCCCCGGGCCGCAGCCCCTGTCAGGGCACCTGCACCCCTTCTCTGCTGGGACGCTGTCCCCCGCGCCCGCCTGGGAGTGACGTGGCAGGGCCAGCCCCCTGCCCCGCGAGCTCGGAGGGCAAGCCACCCACTGTCTGCTGGGTGGTCTTCACTCGTGCCCCAAACTTTGAGAATGTCTCCATCTCCAATTGGGCCAGTGACAAGGGCGACGAGGCATCGTCCACAACCGCTCTGGGTGACTCTGGGCGAGAACTGGCACTCCCGAACGAGGACGTGTCTTCCGACAGCCAAAGGACACACGCCCAGGACCCCCCATCCCGAGGGCGCCATGGGTGGCTCCAGCCGGCGGGACGAGGAGGCCCCTAAGCCAGCGCCCCCAGGAGGACACTTCCACCTCAAGGCCCTTCGCACCACGGGGAGAGGCGTGCAGCCCGGGAGCGCGTTTCTAAGAGAACGGGGCGGTGACAGCGCCGCGGAGCAGTTCACCTAAGAGCTGCGCTCACCTCGGGGTCGTGTTAGCACTGAGGACGGAAGACGTGGCCTGACAGAGGACGGCAGCCCCGCGGCCTCCACACCTGGCTCAGCTCACGCACGCTGTGCGGCCTCTGCTGCTTGGGCCCCCAGGCCGCCGAGCGGGAACAGGGCCCCGGCTCCGGCCCTCCTCCAGGCAGCTCAGACACTCCTGGTCCGCAGGGGCCCGGAGCCTCCCGCCACACACCCTTCGCTTCTTGTGCTTTTCCAGAGCAGGCAAGGGATTTAACCCCCTTTGCGTCAATAAACTTGTCTTCTGAGAAGGAGGGGCTGAGCCAGGGTGGGGTCCGTGGGGTCTGCAACAGAGAAGGGGGCAGAGCCCTCACCACCAGGCGCCCTGGGCTCAGGGGCCGGCACTGCAAGTTAAACAGCTGTGCGCACATGCATGCGTGTGTGTGCGCGTGAGCATACGTGCAGGCATGCGTGTGCCTGTGTACGGATGCACGTGCACACGCAAATATGGAAACTCCACCACAGAGTAACAGAACTGAACTAGTAACTGTAACAAATGAACCGGCTGGTTACTGTGTGTCCTCTCACCAAGACTACACAGAACAAAGATGAGTCAAGTGGCTAACAACTTAAGACCTGCAAGTTACAGTGGATTTAACAACTTGTTCCTACCGGAGACACCGTCGACGCGTCGGATCTAAGACCCCCCCCCCCCCG